TTTTGTTATTTATGAAAATATAAAGCAAAACCTACTGGAATGTAAGACTGCTTCTATGATAGAAAATGGTGAAGAGTCTGTAAAAGAAGCATCAGATTTTGTGGGAATGATGCTTGCTGCTGCCACCTCAAAAACTTGTGCCACAACTATAGCATATCCACATGGTAAGAAAAGCTGATCTATAGGAGCAAATTCTGTGATACAGAAACACTTTCCTATTCTGTCTGATGTCCTGCTGCTTACAGCATGTGTAATTAAATCCAATATAAAAAAAAAAGTTGGGAGTTTATAATGAGATTAAGTGCTGGATAAATAGGTCAGTATATGCTATCATGCAGCACAGTAGCAATCAAACATGAGCTCTGGAGACTGATAGTCAACTTCTAACCCTGGAGTTAAATTCCAGCCAAGCTTAACCCTAAGCTAGTTGTCCTTTGGGCAAACTTGTATTTTTGAAAAAGTATGCATGTAAACATAAGTACTCTAGGTATATTAGAACATAACCAGAATTGCCCTCATTTTCAAATGAGAAACTTGAGGAAAAAATGTAAAAAGTAAATAATTTGCCCAAGGTCACATTAGTAGTAGAGGCCAAATTTAAAGTCTATAATTCTGAGGACCAAGCTATTTTATATTATTTTATTTTGATAAATACAGTATTTCTTTCATTAAATTTTATATTACTAGTCTCTCAATAACTGAAGAAATCACTGAAGAACTTACATACTGAGGGGCTTTTGGTAGCTATTAACCTTTGATTTTTTTTTTGATGTGTTTTTCTTTTAATGTAAGTGTAAGTGACATGATAATATTACTAGAAAAGGTATCATGGATAAAATTTTGGAATTAAGTATATAAATGGCATGGGCCTTTAAGATAGAACAGGAGATTTCCAGTAAAAGTTTGCATTTGCCATGGGCTGCTTTAGATTGTCTACCCCAGCATCATAAAGGGTACTTTGTTAGAGGAAAAAATTGAGAATGAATGGCTAACGAACAGTCAGTTTTTAAATAGAAAACTCTTGATTCTTTATGTTAGCTTAAATGGCTAAAATCTCTCAGTAACTTCAGTTTCTTTTTCTTTTTTTTTTTAAGCCCTAATACTTTACATTAAACTCAAGGCCTCACACATGCTAGGCAAGTACTCTACCACTAAGCTTTACCCCCAGCTCAGTGTCTTAAATTGGACTGATTTTGAAGATCCTTCCACTATTAAAGTGTTACAATTTTTGCTTACTTGATTTTTAGCCTTAGCTTTATCAGTGACAGCTAGTGTCCTAGACATCTTCAGCTTCTTTGTCCACTCATTGTTTTATGTTACTATATGTGGACTGTTATAAGTACATTAGTAATATTTTCTTTGCACTGTTTGCTTTTTAAAAATCAATCTTTTCTGTCATTGCATCCTTCTCTATTGATCTTTAATACTGCCTCTATTCACTTCCTGCTTCTTCATACTTTTCTCCTTATCAAATCTATTTTCCCTTGTGTCCATTTATCTTACATACAACTGTTACTTTAGTGTATATGATTTTGGCTATATTAGAAATTTGCTGTTACTATAATATGACTACTTTCAGTGAGCTGTACATTAAAAATCATTTATCCTGAGCTACTTACATACTAACATGTAATATACTGAGTATGATTAGGAGAGTTATAAAGAAATCAGTAATTTTTAGATTGGTTTTATTTCTTTCCTAAAACAGAAGTTGTAAGAACAAGACTACGTGAAGAAGGAACAAAATATAGATCCTTTTTTCAGACACTGTCTTTGGTGGTTCAAGAAGAAGGTTACGGATCCCTCTACCGTGGTCTAACAACTCA